AAAAAAAAAATTAAAAAAAAAAAAAAAAAAAAACATAAAAAAGGAAAGAACTTTAACCTAATTTACAAATAGAGCATTATATTTCCGGGATCGTGTATATCGTAATGGAAAATAGTATCAGAAACATAATCCCTCTTGTTTTTCTAAAAATACCAACAATCAAATGCAAAGTTGATGAGTTCAGTTTTATTTCTTGCAGTATGCTCGGAGAGGCTACAATGAATGGCCACAATGGCTTTTCTTTTAAGCCATAAGCTATGAACCAATATGAATTCAATTCCTTAACCTAAACTAGACCTGGTGATTTCGTATACCAAGAAGCAAGCTGCATTGGCTGGGACACTGCGGACAATGGCAGGTCCAAAACCCTTGTATAGCCCTTTAACTCCTTCTGAGGCCATGATTTTCCTGAAAGCATCAATGGAACCAGAAAACCTTGGGTTTTTGTAATCATCCACCTGAATTACGCTCTTGATAACATCAGTTGGATACACAGCTAGCCAAAACGCAGCTCCAGCTAAACCCCCAGCTACTATTAGAGACCCTCTTCCTAGATTCGAAGTGTCTCGACCTCCTGCAAACTGCTGTTTTAGCAGCTCGTAGGTGCCGAATGCCACAGCGTTTCCAGGAACTTCTCTTGCCAATGTCGGTATCAAGCCTTTGAAGAGACCCTTCACTCCACTTGATTGAAGAACATGCTTGGCTACATCGACTGGACCGCCATACTTCACTGCCACACCAACGGAACTGGATGTTGCCAATGCACTCTGAGCTTGCAGTCTGTTCTTTAACAAGAAAAAAACAATGAAGGTTGTAATGTCTTGTGAAGTTTCTCATTGTTGGAAAGTCAAATAGTTTGCAGAGTTTAAGAAAAGGTTGTGCAAACCTGCATTTGATCAACTCAGTTGGACAAGCTAGAAGAGACACAGCAGTGCCAGCGCCAGCCCCACAAATCACTTGTTGGTGAACTTGAAGGGAGGCACCAGGATAAGGCCTAAAGAAGGACTCTATTTGTCCTCTTACACTGAAGAGAACAGCATTCAATGCAGCAACTGTAGCCAATGGAGCTCCCATACCTTTGTACAAACCTCTTGGGCCTTCTGAAGCTAATGTTTGTCTGACAGCATCCATTGCTCCAGAAAACTTGGGAACTTGGCCAGGAAGTGGTGCAGGTTGGCTTTGGAGCTTCACCTTAATTGTATCAAATGGATGCCCACATATCAATTGAGCTGCTCCCCCAGCAGTCCCAGCAGCAAGATCCTTCGCAACATCTCCCATATGGCTGATAAACACTTTGCTGCACTATTTCAAGTTCTTTAACAATCTGAATGTTTATAAGCAGAGTAGCAGACTCACATGAAAGATGATTGAAGTTAAACCAAGAACAACAAAGGAAGAGTAAAGGAAGAACAAGGATCATTCTTCTCACCTTCTGCTTAACCAATATATCACTTATAATCCTACCTAATATAGAAGATAACCAACCATGACTAACTCCAAACCAAATTAGAAATGAACACAATCACGACAGCAATATGAGGTTTGCACAAAATATTAATCTACACTGTCAGATTTGTCAGAATTTCAGTCTCATCAATCATGCTGAATGTGACGATAAATTCTTGTCATTTATTTCTTAGTCAAAAAGCTAAAGCTTGCATTGGAATAGTTACAGGACAGGACAAGACAAGACACCCTTACTTCTAGTACTTCAGATAAAAATCAAATCATCCGCTCAGATTGAATTTGAATTAGCAATCAGAACGCGTTGAAATATAAATTCAGAAGCTGTTTGATTACCAAAATCAGCCCCAGATTTCTGCGGAAACTGCTTCTGAATCCCTACAATCAGCTAAAACGATTCAACGAGCACGAGAATAGAAGTCTAAATGATCGGTTACATGCAAGAACTTCACTGGACGGCAACTTTCCAATGTTTAATCAAAAAGAGAAAGACGTCTGGAAGCGGAAACCATTGATTGAGAAAAGAGAGAATCGGATAGATCAAAAACAGTTCATCATGATCCATAAGCCACCATCATACAAAAGTGACAAACAGTAGCGATGGAAATGGAAAAATAAAAACATAGTTCAAACTCAACGAAATCTCATATTCGAACGGAAACAGAGCTACATTCCAAACCATTGAAGAAACCTTGAAATCTCACCGGAAGCGATTTGCAGGAAGCCGAAGAGACCTAGATCAGAAACGAGACACCGTAAGAGAGACGAAACAGCATTCGCCTTTGACCTCTTTCTCCCGGCGGCTGTCTTTATGTTACTTCACTTTACGGCGAAAAATTGGGCGAAAAGATTAAGACATTTGACCTTTTGACGATTATTTTAAATAAATAAATAAATAAGGTCTAACAGACTGTAATTAGACCTCATAAACAAAGCATTGAACTTAAACCTTATACAGTAAATATAAATTCTAGTATTTAATTAATGGTTTGATTAGACTTTACCTACTAAATTCCAACCAAAACAATCTCGACACGTGTCCGTTTGACATTGTTAACCTCAAACCTTTTGAACTTAAGCACTAAATGTTATGGGTATTTCGAAATAGGGTAAAAAAAATTATGAGATAATTTTGAACCACGAAAACAACACACTTCTCACTTAAATAAGTACGCCCAACTCAAGTAATAAATCTAGGTCGACCTTAAAGTCATACCTCGGTCATTTAAAATAAATTTATTACAAAGATAAAACTATTTATTATGAAGATGGACGTATATTATTTATTCGTCCAAATCTTACTTTAGGATCGTAATATATGTTTCAACGATTATTCAAAAGGGTGGAAAGATATATTTTTATTTTAAAAAATATATTTTTTTTATAGTCTCGTTGCCAAACTAAAATGGAAAAAAATAAAATCTGTTGGTTAAGATAATGATGGAATTATTTATTTGAGATTTGTATGGAATATGAATATAAATAAAATGAAAATCCCGTAATATATATTTATATATGGAAAAGAATATATGAGGAATAGGCTTTGAGTTCTCGGGAGGCCGTATCTAAAAAGGCATAAAATAAACCCTAAATAATAGAAAGTTTTTAATTAGCCATTTTCTTAAAATTCAGTTTCTTTCGTTCTCCAGTTCTGTAACTTCCTTCACAAACTCCTCACTCTTTCTTCATCATCATCATCATCATCTGCTTCATCTTCTTCATCTTCTTCTTCATTCGCTCTCAACTTCACTCTTTTGTTACCCGAAAATCTCACATTTCTGAGAATTGGAAGAACATTAGGAATTTTGATAGTGAAGTTTCTTTGTGTCCTGATTCTGTTTTTTTTTTTTTTTTTTTTTTTTT